TCCTGCCCTAGCTGGTTTGGCTCAGTGGATAGAGCGTCAGCCTGCGGACTGAAGGGTCCCGGGTTTGATTCCAGTCAAGGGCACATGCCCGGGTTGCAGGCTCCATCCCCAATAGGGGGCGTGAGGGCACATGCCCGGGGTTGCAGGCTCGATCCCCAGTAGGGGGCGTGCAGGAGGCAGCCGACCCATCATTGACGTTTCTCTCTTCCCTCTCCCTCTCCCTCTCCCTTCCTCTCTGAAATCAATAAAAGTATTAAAAATAATAAAGGGTAGATTCCTGGAATGAAACTTCTGGGTCTAAAGGAACACACGCTTTTTAATTTAAGAGAATTTCCAGATTATTTCCCTACAAAGGTGGTAATAATCAGCAACTTATGTGTTTCTTCCGTCAGCAGCGCACAAGAGGGCGGGGGGCCCATGTCCCCCATGGGGCTCTGTGAGACGGCTCTTCGGTTTATTCTTGGTGCTCTTCTCGTTTTGCCGATCGGGAGGTTGAAAGTGGCTTGTTTTCATCCGCAGTTTTTCACTCCGCGAAAGAGTTCAGCGTCGCTCTCTGGGCGCCTGTTGTCTGCCATGATTTCCTCTTCCTTGAACTCCGAGCTAATATCTAGTTCCTGTGTTTCTGCGAAGCTGTGTGTGTCTCTTAGACACGTGCGGGACAGGAGATAGATTCTTTGTCGCGTGTATGGCGAGTATCTCTTCCCAGGCTCTGTCTGTTATTCCTCAGAGCATCTTCGTTTCTTAAGTCTCTTAAAAAAAAAAAAAAAAGGCCTTTCCCACGCCGAGGTTACTCAAATATGCATTGAATGTTTAATTAGTTTATTTTTATACTTCCTTTTTCTTCTGGAAAATTTCCTTGGCTGGTTTCAATATTTATTTTTTTTTCCATGTGAACTTCAGATTTCTTCTGTCACATTCCTTACTGCAAAAAAACATTGTCCTTCTAATTAGAATTAAATCAAAGTGATATAATAACTTGAAAACGTTTGATATTCTAGAACAGGGGTCCTCAAACTACGGCCCGCGGGCCACATGCAAATACAAATATTGTATTTGTTCCCGTTTTGTTTTTTTACTTCAAAATAAGATATGTGCAGTATGCATAGGAATTTGTTCATAGTTTTTTTTTTAAACTATAGTCTGGCCCTCCAACGGTCTGAGGGACAGTGAACTGGCCCCCTGTTTAGTATAAGTATTATTGACTCTTTCTAACTTGTTTCCTTTTTTTATTGATTTCAGAGAGGAAGGGAGAGGGAAAGGGAGATAGAAACATCAATGATGAGAGGGAGTTATTAATTGCCTGCCTCCTGCACGCCCCCTACTGAGGACCGAGCCCGAAACCCGGGCCTGTGCCCTGACCGGGAATCGAACCATGACCTCCGGGTTCATAGGTCAATGCTCAACCACCGAGCCTCCATGTCCCGGCTAACTTGTTTCTTGTTGTTGACTTTCAGTAAGATTTAAAATTTTTCTTCAATGAAATCCTATGACTTTCTTGGGCTTTCGCTTTCTCATATTTATTGTGAATCCATTTTTTTCTATCCTTGCACTTTTAACTGAGAAATTATACATGTCCATATTACCCCATAATTCTAATTATCTTATTCATTCTAATAGATATTAGTGGCTTCTCTTAGGTTTACCAACTATGCAATCATATCTTCTGCCAGTAAAGATACTTTTAGATCTTTTTTTTTTAAATAAGCAATGAAACATTTCATTTTTTTGTTTATTGCAAGGGCCTAAGAACGCATATTCCCCAGGCCTCATTCCAGAGAGTCCATTCCAATACATTTAAGGAATCTCTTTTATTTTAGAGAGAGAGGAAGGGAGGCAGGGAGGGAGGGAGGGAGAGAGAGGGAGAGAGAGATAAAGTTGTTGTTCCACTTATTTAAGCATTCATTGGTTGTTTGGTTGATTCTTATATGTGCCCTGACTGGGGATCGAACCCACAACCTTGGTGCATCCAGATGATGCTCTGACCAACTGAGCTATCAGCCAGGACTTAAAGAATCTCTTAAAAGCACCGCAGATACAGTGAACCGAGGAAGAGGCAAACGGGAAGAAAAGTGATGTATTACATTTGCGGGAACGATTGAGGGGTCCCTTTAAAGCTGGAGGCTATACTTCAATGGAGAGAAATGGTGGTGGGCGGTTTATCTAAGAGGCACAAATCAATCACGTATGAAACCTCAGAGTGTGCCCGGCCGGCGTGGCTCAGTGGTTGAGCATCGACCTATGAATCAGGAGGTCACGGTTCGATTCCCGTTCAGGGCACATGCCCGGGTTGCGGGCTTGATCCCCAGTGTGGGGCGTGCAGGAGGCAGCCGATCCATGATTCTCTCTCATCATTGCTGTTTCTCTCTCTCTCTCCCTCTCCCTTCCGCTCTGAAATCAATAAAAATATTTTTTAAAATTTAGAAAAAGACAACGCAGAGGCGTAACGTAGATGGACCTCGCTGTGTTCTCCCCGTCGCAATTGGATGTCATGCCTTCGGTTCCCTCCTCAGTGAAAATCACACTTTCATAAAACATCGCGATGGGCACGCTGCCCTGTGATGGCCAATTAGCCACAGTGCGTCTGCTCGGTGGGTATGCTGAGAAGTTCACACGCTGTGGCTTATCTCCTTCCACACCTCCATTCATTTTCCAAAGAACTGAAAGATGCGGCGTGTAAGTAGGGTGCAATTGAATCCCGCGTCTTCGCAGACAAGTGATTCAAATACATACTGTCCTCTGTTTGCTGCTGAAGATAAACAGCGAGACGCACCTACCAGGGATGCGGCTGTTCGTGCCAATGCAGGCGCCGGTGTCTGTCTCCGAGGGATTATGTAGCCGACGGTCCAGCACGGTGTCGCCTGCAGCAACTCTAGGGCAACTGCTGGTTTGCAATCTCCGAAACCCTTCGGTGTGCGCGCTGCCAACGTCCCATCTCCACCAGCTGCGCTGAGAGCTTATGGAATTAAAGGCCCCAAAGTCCCGCTGAAAGCGAGAGACTGGGCTTACGTACAAAAAGAAAAGTATTTGAGGCAACGAAAATGAGCCCCTTACTCTAGCTGGAATGTAATGTGTTTTTTGTTTTGTTTTGAGTTTATTTTATTTTTTAATATATTTTTATTGATTTCAGAGAGGAAGGGAGAGGAAGAGAGAGATAGAAACATCAATGATGAGAGGGAATCATTGATTGGATGCCTCCTGCATGCCCCCTACTGGGGACCAAACCCACAGCCTGGGCATATGCCCTTGACCGGAATCGAACCCGGGACCCTTGAGTACGCAGACTGACGCTCCATCCACTGAGCCAAACCAGCTAGGGCTTGAGTTTTTTTTAAAATATATTTTTATTGATTTGAGAGAGGAAAGGAGAGTGAGAGAGAGAAAGAGAGAGAGAGAGAGAGAGAGAGAAACATCAATGATGAGAGAGAATCATTGATCAGCTGCCTCCTGCACACGCCCCCACTGGGGATCAAGCCCGCAACCCGGGCATGTGCCCTGACCGGGAACCGAACCATAACTTCCTGGTTCCTAGTTCAACGCTCAACCCCTGAGCCACACCGGCAGGGCTATGCTATATTATTCTAAGGCTTCAAATATTAGCAGACCATAGGAAGTAAATTAATGACAGTTTTTTCAAGCACAAGAATACATTAATTAAGCATTGCTATCATTTTGGCATCTCCATTTTGGGGATCGCTCTGGTTCTCTTTCTCTCCGGGTGAAGGAATGGAATCGCTGCACCCGCAGGGCCGGCATCTTGAAGGAGAGCATTCCTGACTGGTGTGTGAGGTTTTGCACCTGTAATTATTTTGGGGCTACCAAATTGGCTTCCCCAATAATGACTCCTATAAACAGCTAATTGTAGCTGCCGTTAACCACTTGTGGGTGTAATTAGCTGCTTGCCCTTCATCTTCCTGGAAAGCCCAATTCTCCCTGTAATTAGTCAATTGTGGATGCTGTTACTTTCACAAGAGGGGGAAGGCTGGATTACCTCCCTTACAATTCCTCGGATGAAGTCTTGCCATTGGAATCTCAGTTCGTGGCAAGTGCGAGAAGATTCCGAGAGTCCGATGGTTTGGAAGTGGCTTTACTTTCCCTACCTGTATTCTCAGGGGCTACAAACCAAACAGATGCTGGAGGGAGACCTCGACAATAGAAATCGATTCTTTTCATCTACAAATTGTTCAATGGCAGCATTACTTTTCTTTTCAAAAATTGTGCTCTTCATGCCTGGCCGGCGTGGCTCAGTGGTTGAGCATCGACCTACGAACCAGGAGGTCACGGTTCGGTTCCCGGTCAGGGCACGTGCCCGGGTTACAGGCTCGATCCTCAGTAGGGGGCGTGGGGGAGGCAGCCGAGCCATGATTCTCTCTCATCGTTGATGTTTCTTCCTCTCCCTCTCCCTTCCTCTCTGGAATCAATAAAAATATATTGAAAATTGTGCTCTTCAGGGAATATAGTCCATAATATTGCAATAACTGCACGGTGACAGATGGTAACTAGACTTAGGGTGGTAATTACATTGTAAGGTATATAAATGTTGAATCACTGTGTTGTACACCTGAAACTAATACGCTATTGTATGCCAGCTCGAATTTAAAAAAAAAAACATTAAGTGCATTGCAAAAAAAAATTATATTCCTACTAAAAATATATATATAAAATATGTAAGGTACTTACATAACAAATTCCTGCTGTAAAGGGCCTCAACATTTAGGAAGTTTCTATATACAGTGGATTTATGAAGCTTCATAAAATTAGAGGCGAACACCTCATGGTCTGAGTTTAACCGTTAGCTCTCTCATATGCAAAGTAGGGGGCTTTGGGCATGCTGTTTAACATCACTAACCTCAATGTTCTCCATAAAACGGGAACACGGAGCCCTCTGCCTTTCTAGGTTGTTGTAAAAATTGCACAAATGCCTAGTATTCTGACTGCTCTATAGTACTTCTTTTTTTTTTTTAAATATATTCTGATTGACATCGAAGAGTCCTGCTCAAAAGAGAGAATTGTTCTGTTCTAGGAAAAGAAGCCAGAAGCCCCTAAGCTGTCCAAGAAGAAGTTGCGCCGAATGAATCGCTTCACTGTGGCTGAACTCAAGCAGGTGAGACCGAGCTGATGGAGTTTTGCTTGGGGGAGGAGCTTTGAAGGAGGCCTGGATGGGACTTTGGAGAAAGAGAAGTAAAAAGCTGCAGACGGAAGAGGCTGGGGCTTTCTTGAGGTGTGCTGTTGTTTTTCAGCTCGTGGCTCGGCCCGATGTTGTAGAGATGCATGATGTGACAGCACAGGACCCTAAGCTCTTGGTCCACCTCAAGGCCACTCGGAATTCCGTGCCTGTGCCACGCCACTGGTGTTTTAAGCGCAAGTACCTGCAGGGCAAACGAGGCATTGAGAAACCCCCCTTTGAGCTGCCGGACTTCATCAAACGCACAGGCATCCAGGAGATGCGGGAGGCCCTGCAGGAGAAGGTGAGGGTCTGGCTGGGCCTCAGGTCTGCCCTCGGGGAGCCACGTCCTTAATAGCAGCCGGCTTCAAACCTGGGATCTGGTTCCCAAAACCCACCTTCTTGTTAATTGTCTAATTATTCGCTCTCCACTTCCAAAGTCAGCACTGTATGTGACACAGAGCAAGAAGGGCAGTCCCCACCTCTCTGGTCAGAACTAGCTCTCCTGCCCCACCCCGAGACTTCTGGTTCTGAGTGGCTCCATTTTCTTCCTTGTCTCCTCGTCCCCTCTGCCTGCACTTGGCCAGCTAGCTTTGATCTGCACATGGTGCCTCCTTTCTCCACAGGTTGCTTTGACTTTGTAGTTCTCTGCCTCCAGTGTGAGCCTGATACATTCTGTGGCTAGAAATTCATGGTAGTTGTGTGACTTCTTTTTTTTTTTTTAATATATTTTATTGATTTTTTACCGAGAGGAAGGGAGAGGGATAGAGAGTTAGAAACATCGATGAGAGAGAAACATCGATCAGCTGCCTGCACATCCCCCACCGGGGATGTGCCCGCAACCCAGGTACATGCCCTTGACCGGAATCGAACCTGGGACCTTTCAGTCCGCAGGCCGACGCTCTATCCACTGAGCCAAACCAGTTTCGGCTGCTCTATAGTACTTCTTGGTCTGACTGTAGCAAGTGAAATTCAGTTCTTCGCTCACCTTGCAAAGCATAGGGTCTTCCGTGTATCATGTTGAAGTGAGCTTTTGATATTTGCTCTTCAAATGGGGGCTCCCGTAACAATATAAAATTCTCTCTGGCCATCACCTGTTTCTCTCCTATGAATTATTATACTTTTAGTATTTTTTTAAAAGCATGAATATTTTTTTAAATGTATTTTTATTGATTTCAGAGAGGAAGGGAGTGATGAGAGAGAATCATTGATCGGCTGCCTCCTGCACGCCCCCTACTGGGGATCAAGCCCACAACCCAGGCACGTGCCCTTGACCGGAATCGAACCTGGGACCCTTCAGTCTGCAGGCCGACGCGCTATCCACTGAGCCAAACTGGCTAGGGCAAAAAAGCATGAAATATGTTTAATGGCAAATTTTAGTGGAGCATAATTAATTTTAACATACTATCCTGACATGGCAGTTATATAGATGTAGTATTGTAATGTAGTTTATATAGAAATGTGAACTTGTGTTATATGAGTAGTATCACTCCCTGAAAAGTTACAAAGGATTCTTAGAATTCTGACCCTTAGAGCAGCTTCCTTGGTCAAATGCTCATCCTATATAATAAAAGCCTAATATGCAAATTGTCCCCTCGACTGGGAGTTCAACCAGGAGTTCGACCAGGGGGCCGGGGCCAGCCGGCCAACCTCCCGCATCCCCTCCCCCTAGGTGGCCCATGCACGAATTCATGCACCGGGCCTCTAGTATCCAAGAAAGAGCAAGAGAGGCTGTGGGGCCCCCCAGGCCAGCGAGGGGCTGACCACAGGACCCTGGCTTCCACTCCAAGTGTAGCCCGTTGGTGTTAATGCTCCCACTAGCGCTTCCCCATTATTGAACAACAGAAGAAAAACTCTAAGGCAGTGGTTCTCAACCTTCCTCATGCCGTGACCCTTTCATACAGTTCCTCATGTTGTGGTGACCCCCAACCATAACATTATTTTCGTGGCTACTTCATAACGGTAATGTTGCTACTGTTATGAATCGTCATGTAAATATCTGATATGCAGGATGGTCTTAGGTGACCCCTATGAAAGGGTCATTCGACCCCCAAAGGGATTGAGACCCACAGGTTCAGAACCGCTTCTCTAAGGTGTTCTGGGATCATTTGAATTTTAGCCATAAACTATAACATTGCCGGGTTTGGCCATAGATTTTTTCCTCTGCTTCCAAAATTATATACATCCTGCTTATCATGTGAGCGTCTGCATGTCTGTGCATGTGTGTGCGCGCGTGTGTGGATGTGTGTGCATGTGTATCTGTGCGTGTGTGTGCATCTGTGTGTGTGTGTGTGCATGCGTGGATGTGTGAGTGAATAATGTTGTCATAAAGTAGACGGGAGGCCTTGGGAGCTCGAAGCAATATCTTCCCCACTAACCTGCTTTATTGCTGCCATTCCCTCCCTCCCGGGCACGCAGTCAGCTGAGACCAGGCCAAATTGGCAGCGATTTTCCAAAAGCCCGTGATCCCCGGGAGTTGCCAGCCAGGTTTCTCTCCCAACCAGCCCTCGCCAGTCCGCAGCAGCCCTGGCTCCTGGCTCCTGGCTCCTGGCTCCTGGCTCCTGGCTGCGGCTGCAGTCAGCCTGGGCTGGGCCAGGAGTCAGGACCCGTGGCCGTGTCCATCTCAAAGTCACACTGGGAAGGCATTCTCTAGCCCCGCCCCCGGGATTTCCAGAGTGACAGCTGTCCTTCCCGATTCTCTGACTTCTTCGGAGCGGCTGAAAGGAAGGGGCCTCTCGGTGGCCAAGGGGTTAAGTTGCTGACACAGTTGTGCCACAAAAAAAATAATTTGGGGAGACGCGCCTGGGCCGTCGGTAAGCAGATCTGAAATAATTGCAGCGGGACCTGCTTATCCCGGGCGGGCAATAGTCCTGTGACAACATTGCATCCGATGGAAAAAATGGAAACGAAAATGAAGAGTGACAGGAGCGGGGAAGACAAGCCGTAAATTCGATAGTGAGTCCTGAAATACAGGCTAACCCAATCAGCACATGCTGCTGTCATTGTATTAATATCGTTAAAATAGCATCACATTTTTAAAAATGGGATGAAGGTGGAGGAACACTGCTTTTAGCAGTCATTCTCAAGCCGCGTGGCTTCGAGGCAGGCGATCTTTTATTTTTTTAAGCCCCTGAAACTCAGTGAGGAGCCAGCCTTGGACACAGAAGGTATCCCAAGAGGAGATGAAAATGGAACTAACGATTATTGAAGGTGTTTGTGGGTTTTTTGGGATTGTTTTGTGGGTTTTGGTTGTTTTTTTTAAATTTCAGACAAGGAGAGGGAGATAGAAACATCAATGATGAGACAGAATCGTTGATCGGCTGCCTCCTGCACGCCCCTATTGGGGATCAAGCCTGCCACTGGGGCCTGTGTCCTGACCGGGAATCGAACCGTGACCTCCTGGTTCACAGATCGATGCTCAACCACCGAGCCATGCCGGCCGGGCAGTGTTACTACTTTAAATAGGAGAAACAGACACACAGAGTTCCTTAAACTAGTTCAAGTTTGCGCAGCCTGCTGGACACATACACCAAAGGTGTCCTGCACTCTTGCTCAGGTGTCTGAAGATGTGTCCGTGGCCTTGAATAGGTGCCCTGATGTGGGCTAAATGAAACATTCTTGGATCCAGAAACCCCTATTTGTCTAATTTAAACACAACCAACGGGGTATACAATTTGTATAAGTTCCAAGAAATCATATACGATTTACCAAGAATAATTTCTCAATATTTTTAATTTATTTTATTTTATTTGTTAATCTCATCCGAGGATATTTTTCCATTGATTTTTAGAGAGAGTGGAAGAGAGAGGGAAAGACAGAGAGAAACATCGATGTGAGAGAAACACATCTATTTGGTTGACTCTACACGCACCCTGACCAGGGCCCGGGCCGGGGAGGATCCTGCAACCGAGGTACGTGCCCTTGACCAGAATCGAACCCGGGACCCTTTGGTCTGCAGGCCGATGCTCTATCCACTGAGCCAAACCAGCTAGGTCTTCCCCATATTTTTTAAAAATATATTTTATTGATTTTTTTTTACAGAGAGGAAGGGAGAGGGATAGAGCGTTAGAAACATTGATGAGAGAGAAACATCGATCACTGCCTCCTGCACACCTCCTACTGGGGATGTGCCCGCAACCAAGGTACATGCCCTTGGCGGGAATCGAACCCGGGACCCTTTGGTCCGCAGGCCGACGCTCTATCCACTGAGTCAAACTGGCCAGGTCTTCCCCATATTTTTAATCTCCTACAGACCAGCTGTAAGTCACAGGCACAGGCTCCCCACCAGCTAGCCGCACGTTTCATTTCCATGTCTCCCTCCCCCTCCGTCCCTGTGCGATGGGCTTTCATTCTTGACGAGGCATCACAACTTGACTTACTAGGGCCTGGGGTCGGGTGGCCAGCGAGCTCCATGCTGGGAGCCCCGGGCCCGGGCGCACCTCGCTCGAAGGGGTGACAACATAATCTAAAGCCGCCCGCCTGACAGCTCAGGTCTAAAGGGATTTGGCTCAGTGTCGGGGCCTTGGGCTCCTGAGGTCACTTTCTGCTCTTGCTTTTCTTATAACAAAAGGAGGGGCCGGGGCTCTGGGGTGTGTGTGTGAGAGAGAGAAAGAGAGAAAGAGTGGGGGAGGGAGGAGAATGCGAGAGCAGGCTCACAGGTGTTTTATTTTAATATATTTTTTATTTATGTCAGTGAGGGAAAGGAAGAGAGAGATAGAAACATCAATGAAGAGATAGAATCATGGATCGGCTGCCTCCTCACCCCCTACTACTGGGGATCGAGCCCGCAACCCGGGCATGTGCCCTTGACCGGAATGGAACCCGGGACCCTTCAGTCCGCAGGCCGACGCTCTATCCACTGAGCCACACCGGCCAGGGGCACACAGGTGTGTGTTGAAGGCCGGTGAATCCCTCAGCTGCTGTTCTGGAAGCCCAGAGCCTCCGCTGAGGCGTTTTCATCAGCCGGGGAGGCCTCTGACGGTCGCTGGAGACGCGGGTTGTGCAACTCAAAACTCTCCGGCCCCTGCAGGAGAGGCCGATGGGAATCAGCGCCGTGTCAGGGCCTGTCGGAGCGCGGCGCAGACATAAAACACGCGGAAACATCAATAAGCAACACGCCTCTGACAGCTCGCAGACATCGCCGCTGACAAGCAGAGAAAGGGGTGAGGTGAGGGCTCCAGGGGGACATTTCAAATGCCTAACAGGCGGCAGAAAGGCCGGCGGGCTTCGGGGAGGCCGGGGGACGACAAGATAAAGTCTCGCAGGTTATCACCTGGTTGGAGGTGGGTCCCTCCTGGCGAGGCCCCGGGATGAGGCAATGACAGGCCCTCGCTCGCTCCCCGCCCCGCCCCCCCTACTTCCAAATGGTTCCCAGAACCCAGCCACCGTGCTAAGGTTGCCCAGACAACAACGTTCATTCCTGCAAGAAGAGATTTTTTTTTAATGTTAAAAAGAGGAAGAAAAAAAAAAACAAGGCAGAAATGTGCGAGTGAGCGAATTCTGCTTCCAGCTACAATGTACAGAAATCAAAAAGGATTAACAAGATTTTTTTTTCATTTAATTTCCTGTACACCAGAAGCCTTTGTTAAGAGATCAGAGATATTGCTATTTATTGAATTTTTAATAT